GAATGGTAGTGATCATAAAAATTACATTGCGGAAGTAAAGCGATGTCGTAGCACGATGTGTTGGCATCGATTTCAATTGAAAACTGCATGACAGCTTTCGAAAGAGGTGATTTGCAATTTTTAAAAGGTAAATTAGGTCTTGAAAGAAGAGTTTTTACATGATTCGCTATGATAACAGTTCAAATGTATTTTACCAAATCACGCAATAAACACGTTTTTTTCTTGAGTAGCGTGAACTGATCGTGAACTCCGATTTGACCATGTTATATCGAGGTGGAATTGATTTTGAAATAATTTTAGCTTTCAATCTAAAGACTGTGTCTATCGCAGAAAGTATTTACTTACAAACAAAGAGGTGCTAATTCCTACAAATTTGACTATGCGCTACGTATCGTGCGACTAGGTCTATTGTTTATAAATTATAATCCACCACTGGTAGGATGCGTGTCGGTCGGTACGTAATTATACCAACAATCAGACAATAGTCCTCGTCGGAAGCATTTCCGTGGTGGTCACTAATTTTGAGTGAGGTCGGGGCCGACCGGCGTGGCGAACAAAGCTTTTTCACATCTGATATTGGCATGTCAAATATGAAATCAAGCGCCAAGGTGGGAACACATAGCGCCGAGGTCCCAAGTGAAGCGCCGAGATTCACAGGTATAGCGCCGCGGACCTCGGCGCTAAAAAGCCCTGGGGAGAACCCTGTAGGCATCATATCTTTCACACATACGAGGTCATCACCGGGTAGCCAAAATATGATCACCATACCATTGGTGATTGCAGCCAGAGGCATTCTGTTTTGGGGATAATGAATAGGAGCTAAAAAGGGGATATACTTTTGTCACCAATTTTTTTAGACTGGTGGCGGTGATTATATCGATGAATGGCTCCTTTTTAGCTTCTGTTTATTATCCCAGAAAGGTACCAGCACCGGTGGTCACGGTGGTGATCCTCGGTGTAGATTGAATACGATAAAACATCCCCAGACTTCATGGCATGCATCTGACCAATTTGCATAACAATACAACTAATTTGCATAATTTTTTCCAGTAAACATTGCGATACAATAACTGTGTTACTGTTATTATAAAAATTAGTCAATCTACAATTAATTAAAGACAAGATATTTTTATATCTGATATATTTTATATCATTTTACTGCATTGTATTTTATATTTTTGTCTCAAATCAAATAAAGTTTGAAATAAAACAGCATAAAAAGAAAAAAAAAATGGAAAGACTTTTGTTATAGCCAGTCAGTAAATTTAATGTTATCCATGGATGTACCTAACTGGTTTATCATTATTTTGTGTACAACAAATACAGTCAGTTTTAGTCACTGTCAGATCATATTAACGTTGGGGAAAACATTTTTGGTTAAATTTATAAAGTTGGCGAGATTGCAAATATCAAAATATGTTGAAATTAATAAATCAATATTAGTAATGAGAAAAAAAAAAGTTCTTTGGTACTAGGCACCCTATGAATAAGGTATTTCTAGAGGTCAGGGTTTGTTTTTTCTTAGCCTGTCTCGTCTGCAGTTGAATAATTTTTGCTTTGATTTATTTACACTTTTCTCTCCATTGCAACTTGTGAGTTGTGACAGACATAATTACTAGTAAGTTATATCAAGCATTTTCACCTGAACCGGCACTGCCCGTATTTGAATTTTTAGTATTTTTAACAACAAATCTGATTGGTCGATAACTTTGCGATTGAATATGTACTCAAACATACACACTTCTGGATAAAATGACCTCACAGGTTTTTTGAGAGGAATGTATGGATATGAAACTCCGTGAGCGAACAAAGAGCTTCAGTACCTGCAGACATCTGAAATGCTAATTGCAAATCTGTAATTAATTTTAAATATTCTCTATTTGTACTTCATGTCTCCAATACTCGCAGTACAAAAGATTTTTTTTAAGATTTCTTTGATTTTCTAAATTTCTTTCAGTTTCAATAATATCCAAATTCACCAGAACCTTTGCATAAAATTCAAGAAACACTATGGCGAAAAGAGCAGCAACAACGCAGTTAACTGATAGAAACTGGGAAGAAGAAGATCCCCAGGAAGAGGTAATAAGTTTGTTCATAAAATAATGTGCTTGGCTTGTACATGCCAGAAACCTTGTCTTAAAGTGCCTGTGAAATGGCTGCTATTTTCACGTCTAAAATTATCCATTGATACATAAATATTATTATTTTTTTATGTTTCTAAGCATGAATTATTTTTTTAAGTGAAAAAATGTGTTTTAAACTCAATCTGCGGCAACTTTATTTTTGTGTATTTTAAAACGAGGCTCCTCATTAGCTTCATATTTGCATACAGAAATTCCCCTTGTGACGTCAGAAGGGGAAGTCGCATGGCAGCTTGCATTGCCGATACGTGTAAATAAGGCAAATTTCTTCTGCAGTTTTCTCATCTTTGACTAAATTTTCACTTATATACTTGTTCGTCGAGGAGGAATGGACCATAATGAACACATACTATCAATTTTTGTTGCATGGGGTTGAGTTAGATGTGAAATATATTCGTTCTGGTATAGCTGGTTACCATGATCGTCAGCGGCGCACGTTTGTACACTGTTGCTGGACAAAAAGTGGAAGTAAAAAAAGAACAGAGGTGTGAATTCGACATTCAACACAAACCACCAAACAATTGAGAAACTTTTAGCCTTCGAAAATGAAAACAATAAGCAGTGTGTAAGGGCTGTGTAATTTCCTGTTTGTCCGACGCTTTGTTTTCGTGTCACTGTCAAAATTATTGCTACCTTTAACTTAACAGGGACTAAATGGTCTCTATAAAACGATAATCAGGATCGCAAAAAAGTCAACTCATTTGAAACACTTGCCAGACGTCTCTCTCTCTTCTGAAATCTGCCTCGGTGATCATGGTCCGGAATCTATTTCTTTCAAAAGTGTTGCGCCAGGTTTATGTTGTCGGCGTTTCTCTTTAAACCTAGTTGTTTTTTTTCATGAACGAGGACAGTTTTTTCCAAAAAATGAATCTGAGGTTAAGTGGCTTTCGTCCACTGATGTCGCACCTTCGGATCGATTAGAAACGTGTGAATACTTACACTATGACTATACGTTTCACTGCAACTGCCCACAACACAACATCTAAAAACTCTCTCTCTCAAAAAAAAAGAAAAGAAAGAAAAAAACACTGACTGAAAAATGTATATCGTTTAAATGTATACTGAATGACCAGTGTTGGTGGCGCACTTTCGGCGAGAGTCGGAAATCCGGAAACAGTCGACTGTTTCAGGATAGGTGGGCGTGGCTACAACATGAGAAATATTCCAAATTTTCTTGGATACGAGTAATCATTTTCAGCAAAAAAATCAATAACTGCCCATTTCAGTGGGATACATATTTAAAATGAGAAACGTGAGGGTGGGCATTGCACAAACACTTTAATACCGGTTCTAAGACGCAAGCCGAAAATGGGTCAAATTCTGTCCATCTGAATGCTCGGCTCAGTTTAAATCCATCGTTTATTGGAGGAACAAATTGACCAAAAATAATAGCACATTGCATGTTAATTTTTCGAAAATTGAAAAATCCTAGCTGTTGTATTTATTAGGTTTGATCGATTTCCATTATGGAGCAAGTTTAACTTGTGACCTTAAACTAACTTGTTCAGAGGCCACTCTCATCACTGTACTTGAGTTACATAAATAATGCATTCTTGGTGTCGGAGTACAGATTGTGGCAACAAGTGCAAGACATGGTCGCTGGAATAGTTCTCCACCATTTTTCACGAGAAGGGCTGTCTTTTGATTGTGAATTCTTATTTTAATTTTACCCTGCAAGACGTGTACCTTTTCACACTATCAATTCTAATTTCTTTCTATGCTGAATAATCCAAGAACATACTAATTCCTGTATTTTGCGATTCTCTATAATTCTTGAATTCCACAACACACCATACTGTACCATCTGTGCGAGTGAGTACTGATGCCAAAAAATTTTGTTATCTCTTTCTACAAATCTCCTATAATATAAAGCAATAATTTGTTGTGCTTGTTTCTTGTAAAATGAAATCGAATCTATTGCTTTCCAATAACTAATTAATAATTTCCGATAACTCTCATTATTGCAGACCAAGAATGTAAATCACCTTAACCACTTAACCAAGCATTATATAAAATGCTGACATTCATTTCTGGGACTGCAGATTATAATATATGTATGACTAATTTGCATAATAATTAGCTTATAATTAGCATATAATTTACATAATTTATTCACAATGTTTGTACATTTTTTTTAAATTTTTCGTTAACTGCTTATACATTAGTGCACTATATTTTAGTTTTATATTAAATTTAGAATGAAAACACGAGTCATGGCTTAAATCAGTTTTTAGTTGTCAGTACAAAACTAGATTATGGGAAATCGCTTTATGATGAGTTGTACCCACATAGAGTACATATTCATTCACCTGTTTGCAGATGTTCCTTGTACCACTTTATAATCAAATAACAGGGACTGTGACATTCATGTCTTGTTTCCTAAAGAATGTAATACATATTTCATTTCAATTAAGATCGGCCTGTAAACAAATTAGGGTATAAACATTTTGTGACATTAAACATTGAGAAAATTATGAATAGGTTATCGAATGAGGTTGGGATTTCAACCCAAGCAGAGTGGGTCCAGTCTCTGCATGATGGTACAGATTAACACTTTTTTCAAAATGTGCGAGAAACCCATATGAAGATAGCTAACTGCTGGAATCTTATTCAGTAGCTGGATTAGTAAAAGATTGGTATTTTCTTAGGCATTTAAGGTAGCGAGACTATTATTTGCATACTTGTTTTCATCTTCCAGTTGTGACTAAATGACTACAAATAGACCCAGGAAAGTATATATTTTTAGAATCTCCAGACTTCAAGCTTTTCACAAGTGTATTTTGCATGCCCGTATCTGCATTCTACGACGCGTTACTCAATCAAAGGTGAAAAATTACTTTTTCTGTAAAAAAAATAATTGCGCATTTATGCTGGCGATAAGAATTATTTTTTTCACTTTTCCTAGTTGTTCAATAGTCAGGTAATGTGAATGTGTCTGGTCAGTTTTGTTCAAGCAACGCGTTTTAAAAAATAGTGTGCTGAATTTCAATGACTGTTTTAGTCGCATTGCCCCCAACTCAAACCACAACTCGTTGGTAAATAATCGATGAAATAGTTTGTCTGGACACTTTCAAGTTCCTCTCACTGTCACCTTAAAGCTGTGAAAATTTGGTGTTATCCGACGACA